AATTGCCTACATGAAGAGTAGAGCCTTTATTTAGATCAAGAGAGTTTATAGTCATGCTGCTCTTTGTCCTGATCCCCTTCGCCCCGCAGTGGCAGGGAACGTGCTTCTCAGCCTATTCCCAGGCCCCTTCCTTCCCCCTAGGGTTGCCAGGAACAGACTTCAGAACAAGAACCAAAACTGTAACCATTGCTACCATAACCACTGCCACCCAAGCTGTAACCATTGATACCTAAACTGTAAACCCAAACTGTCACCCTGCCAATGGTGCCCTGCCAACGGCAACATTCTTTGTACACAGAAAAAGGTATAAAAGACAAAACGCCCAAGGTATAAAAGACAAAACCCCCTGCACTTCGGGGCCACTTGTCTTAGGACAAGGGCCTCATGCACAGGTGCGAATAAATCACAATTATTTACATCAGAGTGGGTCCAAGTTTATTTTTCCTGGTCTCCTAGGTTATTTCACTTTTGCCTCTGCCTCCCAAGTAGCTGGGACTACCGGCACTTGCCACAGCGCCCACCTGTTTTTAGAGATGGGGGTCTCACTCTTGCTCAGGCAGGTCTCAAACTCCTAAGCTCAAGCAATCTGCCCGCCTCCATTCCTAAAGTAGTTGGATTATAGGCATGAGCCACCATGCCCTGTTCTCCAGATTTTTAAAATGAGGCACCACATGTAGCCTGGAATTGCATATGTTATATTTTATACTGAATAGGAGATTAAATTGGATTACCTATTTTCTTTTTCAAATTTAAAATTCAATAAACAGGGTGAAGATTTTAAAGATTGAGCTTAATCACTTATTTAAAATTAAATACTAGAATAATACTGCCTCTTGTTTTAGTGTGGAAATATAAAGGAGGAAGAGGGGCTATCTAGTTAATATTGAAAAGACTGCTTAAGAGTAAGCTTTGTTCAGAGAACAAAGATAAAAATATATCACCTGCAATTTTGTTAAACAAACAAAACTAACAAAATTAGTTAGTAACTTCAGACCTGTGGCTTATATGGCTGGCAAACTGTAGCAACATTCTGTCAGAGTTAAAAATGACTTGTGACTGGGGGAGGTGGCTCACTCCTGGGATAACTCTACTGCACTCTAGCCCAGGCAACGGAGCAAGACCCTGTCTCCAAAAAGGGAAAAAGAAGAAAAGAAAGGAAAACCAAAATTATATATTATCAAAATGAGCAATTTTAAACTGAACTGCACAAAAGGATACATTGCCATCTAATTTTCTATTCTTGATTAATTTAGCAAAACAGTTTTAGCTAGGTTTTCTTCATGTGTTAAAATATGAAAGGTGAGAAAGAAAAAACCCAAAAAAGGTATGAAAGATTAGATGGAAATGTGAAGAGAGTTCTGCTGAAAAGCGAATTTTTTTCAGCCTAGTTTTCTTTTCTTTCTTTTTTTTTGAGACAGAGTTGCCCTCAGTAGAGTGCTGTGTTGTCACAGCTCAAGCAACCTCAAACTCCTGGGCTTAGGTGATTCTCTTGCCTCAGCCTCCCAAGTACTTGGGACTACAGGCACCTGCCACAATGCCTGGCTATTTTTTTTGTTGCAGTTGTTTAGCTGGCCTGGGTCAGGTTTGAACCCACCACCCTCTGTGTATGAGGCTGGTACTGTAACCACTGTGCTGTGGGTGCCGATCCTCAGCCTGTTTTTCTTTTTTTCTTTCTTTATGAGAAAAAAATCTTAGGGAAAAAAAGCTAGTTTTAGACTATTATTACCTCCTGCTATCTGCTTCAGATGACATTTTAAGTAGGGCTTGATTATACTATGTGGTAACTACAAACAGTTTAAATTTTAATGCATGGATTAAAGTGAGGGAGAAATCCCAAAGTACATTTTTAATTTTTATATCCTTGCTATTAAGTTGGTTTTTAGCCAAGATGGAATGAAACTTTTCTCCCAAAATAGCAGTTAAATTTCTTTAATCTTTTAAAATACATTTGTGCCCTGAGGCTGGATGCCGTGGCTCATACCTCTAATCCTAGCAATTTGGGAGACCCAGCTGGGAAGACTGTTTGGGGCCAGTTCAAGACCAGGCTGAGGACTGTAGAAAAAAATAGAAAAATTAACTAGTCATGGTGGTGTGTGCCTTTAAGCCTAGGAATTTGAGGTTGCTGTTAGCTATGATGATTTCACTGTACTCTGGCCTGGGCAACAGAGCGAGACCCTGTCTCTAAATAAATAAGCTTGAGCATTTATAGTAGCTCTGTGTGTAAAAAAAAAATAGAGCAATAATTATTTTGCCGTGTTATTTGTTTATGATGTGTACCCCCCTAAATCATCTTTTCAGTACACGTTTCATGGTAATTTTCACATGTGAAAGATTGGGTTTTGTTTATGTTTTCCTCCTATTTTTCATCTCCACTAAAATGGACACTAATGTTTCTTTACTGTGCGGTTTAA